GTCATTTCTTTTCTTGTTTATTTTCTCGTTCTTCTTGTTTCTTTTCTCGTTCTTGTCATTTCTTTTCTTGTTTATTTTCTCGTTCTTCTTGTTTCTTTTGCTGTTCTTGCATTGCTACCATCAAATCTGCTAAGCTGTAGTCTGATTTGCCACTTCTCCATCTTTTTTTTTTCTATCCCACTCTCTGACACCAATTTGTTACATATCTGCTTGTTTGACAATTTCCAGTAAAACTTCAGCGATACAATTCCCTTCTTGATTAAAACTAGTTTATTCTTTCTCGATACAAACTTTGTAATACCCTTAGCAACTTTTATAACACACGATATAAATCACAGTGATTCACACACTTTACTTATGGTGCCTACTGTTCACTTGACTCAAATATCTATCTCTTCACTCTATCTATATCTCTTCAATCTATCTGCCTCTGTAATTGCGCTGGTTTTTCTCGCCAGGCTTATATACAAAAAAAAAGAAAAAAGAGGGCACCCTGAACAAACTAGAGTTGCCAGGAACATTCATGATCCTTCGAGAAACTCCAGCACGCATGCTCTCAGCATGGCACGAATTCCGCTGTCATAACAATAAAAATAAAAACACAGAAGCAGCAAAGTACATCAAATAATCTGCATCATATACAAACTGGGATGGGCAAGGAAAGACACTTCTCACTTTACAGTCATTTTAACCATTAGCAAATTAGCATTTAAACTTAATTTATGATCATATTTTCATCAGGAACTCCACCTGAGAGGGGAGTATCATTAGTACTACACATACTGAACTGTTTAATGGTTGAGTATCACATTTTCATTTATCCATTGCAGTAAAGTAATATCAGACTTGAAAGTTAGAAACAGTTCATGGTTCTACTTTGTACACAATTAATGCTTTAAACTTTTCCGACTGATGACACAGGTTAATCTTAACCATATATATTCACAACACTGAACAATCTTTTATAGATGATATATCTTGGAGTTTGTAAGCATGCACAATATATGTATTGAGGTTTCTTTATGAGCTTCTCCTGACGACTTTTACCTTGTTTGAGTGAAATTCTGATAATAAGTTTCTTACACATTCTCCAGAGTTCATAACAGAAGCAGCAAGGCTCCTAAACCTGCTACAGCTGGATACTTATGACCAAGCACACAATTATAAATATTGGAAAATAATGACAATTAAAGATCTCAGGGAAAAAAAATTAAAGAGATGAAAAGTCAATGAAGGCCTAGAAAATAGGATTATTTGAAAACATATTCTACAGTAACTTGATAAAACTAACGTTTACACAGGCAAGGAGTCTCTCAGGACTGCAACACTCACAAAAATCAGACTTGATGAAGGACTCAGCATGGAACTCGAAATATCACTTTCATAACTAAGAAAAAGTGTTAAAAGTTCACAGAAAACTTGGTCTGTATGTATTTTTGCAACACCTTGCAGATACAATCATAGTTTCCTGGTAGTTAAGGTTTCAAGTTAGTACTTTTGTAATTAGAATTCTTCCCCTTACTGTTTGGTATTAATTGAGAAATCAAATAGCTAATATTCATCCTAAGGCTTTAACAAAGATTGAGAAATTAGGACAAGTTTGATATTTACTTTACAATTTCCAAATGACATTACAATTATAAGGTGCATGTATGTATGGCCACAACTGTTCCTACATACCTGGTAAGCACTGGGTCATGATTGTGAAACACACCCAAGACATCACCTCGTACGTGTAGTTTGGGCACGAGACAAAATTAAACAGATGAGTGAAAGGGTTTGACGTGGGAACAGGAACCTTCCTAACCTTGGTGCCTGAATAATGTGGAAAACACATATCACCAACACAGTTTAACACACCTGTTTGTTATTATGGATAAAAAAACTTACATTATAAAAAGTGACCAGACAAATTTCACGACACCTATATCAAGACAGATTTAGAACTAAGCATGAGATTGTAAGCAATTTTATAGAAAGAGAAAGGTAAATATTTTACCCAAGTAAAATAAAATCAATGGAAAAAAGTTAGTGAACTAATCTGGGAAGGGGGGTAATTTCTGTACACTTTCTATAAGTTAGATCTTTAAAACTAGATTGTTAGATCAAAAGTAGAAATACAGAGTATAACAAGCTTAAAGAAAAGTAATGTTCTTTCCTTCACTTCACATTCAACAGCTGTATGTGTCCACACAACAAGCAGTTATTTACAACATAATGAAACTTTTGAAACAATTTCTGATTTCACATGTAAATAGTTTCTTTTTTTTTATGTGCACCTTGTAGCACTAGTAACAAATCATTAAGAACTGGCCATAATATCAATAAAATCATTTTTTTTTCTTATAAAAGTTTAGGAAACAGTTGGAAACTACCTCAGAAACACAAGAAGATTTTCTAAAAATATCACTTTGTTAACAGTTAGCCAAGAATCATAACTTTAGTGTAGAAATTGACTGTTATAGTTACGAATACATTATAACAGCATGGGAAATACTACCTATGTAAAAATGATAGTCTAGGGTAGTATCCTGTTTAGAAATTAATACAACATTCACCATCTACCAGTGATAAGTAGATGAGTGATTCAAGTTTTATGATAATACAGGATAAAAATGGAACTTATGAATTTAAATATTTTGAAATATATGGTCATTCATTTTACTATACAATCATCAAATTGGCACTGTGTAAATACAGGAATATGATATGCCTTCCTCCCTACTTAAATAAGGCAGGAAAAATATAGTAGTTACAGAATTTAAGAAAAAAAAAAGACAGTTCTGTACATTTCACAAATACATCATTTATTCACAATCGTGAATAAATAATGTATTAGTGAAACGTACAAAACTGTCTTTTTTTCCTCAATTATGTAATTATGGAGTTTCACCAAGTATCGACAGTTTCAAGTATCAATTAGATAGTAGTTACATTTATATACTTTTTATCACACCCAAAAAAATATATTAATTAAAGCTTATTCAAACATTTGATATCATTAAACAACAACAGGCTTTACAGTATACAGTTGATAAACACTCACCAGGTGGCCTCAAGTTTTTTAGTGCAAGATGAATACTGAGGTTTCCAAGCTCATTTTTCTGGGAGGAAAAAACAAAAACTAAATTATACTTTGAAAATCAACAATAAAAAAAATTAAATACATAGAACTCATTCATTCCTGACACAGCTGGTACAATGTCTTGACCAAAAAAGGTCCAAAGGAGTGAATAAAAACAGGGTAATCACAGCACAGGTGAGTGTTAAGACACGTAACAACACTGATCCTGTATTCATGTAAAGTAGGAATGTTTGACAACACAAAAATAAAATATACTTTGAGTATGGCTTTTATCAATGATCTCCATATACAACTATAACCCAAAGTCATTACCTTGTTCAAATTTCAAAAGCAAACAAATTGGTCTGTTTGTTTGTTTGTTAAGCACAAAGCTATATGATATGTTATCTGCTCTGTAACTACCACAGATATTGAAACCTGATTTTAGTTATAAGTCCACAGGCTTACCACTGAGCCAGTGGGGGTTCTTTCACGTATATTGAAAATGACTAATCCATAACCTGCATAGGTCTAGCAAATATAGTATCTTAACTATTATTTCCTTATAATCTTCAATATTATGTATAGTTGATTACTTAGGCTTGTCATACAACTAAAAATATTTTAGGGTAAAACATGCTCCAAATTCATCTAAATTTTTTTTTTTTTTAACAAGCTCTCGGCTTAATAGCATAGCCTCTGACACAAATAGTTTACCAACTAGTTTTTTTAAGTTGATTCTTATCAAGCTCAGACTTAAAGGTTGGTGTATGACCAACTTTTTCTACATAGAGTTTGCTCATCTTAAAGATTATTCAGTTATAAATTCTTTGGCAAAAGACTCACACTAACCCTACTTCATTGTGGCAGAACACAAGGATCTAATTCCCAAATATGCTCAGCTTTGAATCTTCTTTAATACATACAAATAAACAATTTTCAATCTGATAGACAGAATTTTTAAAATGTACATAGAGCAAGTGTATACATGAATGTAGGAATTTTGATAACAGACTTTCAGGTTTTAAATTAACATGCAAAAACATTCAACATAAAGTCATTGTTCTATATTTTCTCTGTGAATTTAGAGTAAGCTGGATAAGTAAATTCATCATGGTTAGATAAAGAACCTGAACTTTACTCAAGGTTTGTAGTATTTTAGAAAGTACCTTTTAATCATTCTATTAATTAATGCCAAAGGAAAACTTTTCTGTTGAAGTAAACCTATTTGTTTCAAGTTTGAAATCAAAGGATTAATTTCTTGAAACTTTGTAAGCAGGTTTCACCTTAATGTTAGTAAGTTTTTTTTCCAGTAATATATATATTAAGCTAATTTGAGAGAAAAAATAAATAAATTCATCATAACACAATGGGTGTTGCACCACCAAAATCTCAACAGCAAATACCTCTAACCTTCCCAACTCTTTTTCCAGCCCCTAATTACCAGGGTGGAAAACATGCATCTTACTTGAGCTTAAATGAAACAGGTTGTATTTTACCTTAGAATCTATCTGTAACATATGTATTACAGACCACTTGATACAAACATATTAATAAACAATTCCTTTTATACAAAACTTTGGTTTACCACATCATGTACATGTGCTGAAAGTTGGAAATGTCTCTGCTCGATCACAGTAACAGTACCAAGAAAGACAGTGTCATCTTATGATTAAGTTTTTGTATTTACTCATCTGTTTAAATGTACTAAATTACTGTAAAATTATCACCCAGTCTAACACTTTACCCCTATACATAAAATGAAGAAATAAAGCAAGACAAACTCCAAGAAGTAATGTAAATAGATATAAAATTATTTGACAGCATTTTCCAACAACTTAATATAACATTACCAAGTTATCACCAAAAGTAAGTTAATAGCTTTTATTTGAGGTGTACTGGAGATAAACATAAAACTAACATACAGTATAGTGTGATGAAATCTCAAATCTTTAAACTAGAAAATAACGAGCAATTTCTTTTATGGAAAAACAATATTTTCATGAAAGGATTTGAAAAAAACTGGGAAAATCTAATCAGCATTTTAGTTTTTGGATATAAATTTAAGAATAATTATTTTTTCTGATTCATATTTTAAATTTAAGGACAACAGTTTTCTACTCATACATATATTTGTTATGTACAGGTTGTTGTTTTTTTCTGATGTCAGTGGGCTAGGGCTGCTCAAAAGGTAATTTGTGTATTCAAATTAATACCTGTTTATTAAATCAGTCCCACACCTACAGCCACTACAGTGCCCATTAACCTTCTATTTATGATGTCAGTCGGCTAGGTTTGGTCAACATGTAATTTGTGTATAAAAATTAACACGTTAATGAAATCAGTCCCACACTTACTGCCACTACAGTGCCCATGAAGCTTTCACATATGACTATAAAAACTTGAACAGTGTTATTTCAAAAGATGGACCTTTCAAAAGCGCTTGGGTTATAGGGTTTTTTATTCATTTCTATCAAGATTTCTTGAACCTACGTGTTTTTCTAATGCTGATTAAACATGATTTTCATGTAAACATCTCTTCTTCTCCATGATTAAAGCTTATCACTTAACAAAATCTGCTAACAATTTAACAATGATATGATGTTAACTTGTCTGTGCTATAATCTACCAACCCTTACAACCTGAATAAACCTGATTAAAAAGCTGTACAATTACTTAGACGTCTGTTCTATGATACTTCTACCATTTATCATAAGAACCTTTAAAAATTAACTGGGCTTAAGAGTAAAACTAGATTACATTTCATAACAAAAAACAGTTCAGTTTGTGGTACAATTGTGACATTTTAAGTCACAATAAAGATCTAAGGTTCACTACTTATATCTCCTAATTTTGCGTATTTAGGACCCAAGGATTATAAGTGCTGCACCCCTAAAAAGTTCACATATACAGATGTACACACACAAACTGCCTTTACATTAATTCACTCTCATATAAATTACCTGCTAGTTTTTGTAAAATTCCTCGTAAAACTGAGGAAACAGATGATTACAGAATTAGGGGGGGGGGGGGGACAAACTCCATAAAAAAATGGGGGACAGTTCTCCCTCTGGAGAGTTGGTATATGTCCACTACTCAGGAATTATAAAAAAAAAGGTGAAATCAAAAGTTTTGTCTATTTCTTACAGTATAAAAGTAGTTGAAACTTTGATAAGAAACTGATTACACACCTAAGAAAGTTGTACAAAGTCAGAAATGACTTTCTTCCCTCCTTATATAATCATTGTACAAGAAATTTGTTGAAATTCAATTTAAAACTAAAGGAATTGATTACACACATGCCGTATCCCTGATATGAATGACTGATATGTTAAAGATTGAAAATTAACTTTCTAGCACAGCATGTTTGTAATAAACGTTTTCGTAATTTGGTAAATTTGAATTGAAATTTGTAACTGTAGCCAAGCAGAAATACTGTACAATATTATAATTCTTAGATGGAAAGAAAACGCATAGTAAATAAAAAAAAAAGTTAACGAGAAGTTTTATCTCCAGATAAAAACCAGATACAATTATTACAATCAAGGGAGGTAAAAACAAAACACACTCACACTTTAACCTTTCTGATACAGGTAGGGGTCAGAGGGCATGTCATCACATTTGTAGACTTACATTCAAAAGTTTATTGAACTGCTATGTAATGTATTATAACTGAAATGTAATTGTATTCTACAAAATACTGGTCTATTAGGACAAAGCTAAGACAGTTGCACTTTGTAAAGGCCAGTTTTATACTACTGGATATGGTAACATGAGTGCACATACGCAGCGTCATTTCAACTTTTGTAATGTTAGTCAGACACGGCTGAATGGTCCATAAAATAAAAATAATAATATCATGAGATTTAAACTATTTAGACTAAACATTTGTGGTTTCGTGTTATAATCTGTAGTCATTCTACAGCATAATTTATATCTATTTCCTAATTGTTTATGGTGGTTACGAGGTTGGTCAAATCAACTAAACCCATACAGAGATAAAATAGTAAAAATAACATATAAAATATAGTTTTTTATAAAAAAAAGGAGTTTGATAATTATCTGGAGGTTACTAGTAGGTTACAGAGATTTTGTATGAGAAATTTAACCATTTTCAGTATTAACTATGCTAAATGAAGAAAAAATGAACCATTTGTAAACACTTGTTGTGTGTGAAACTTGCAATTAATTCCTACACCATAATATAAACTTACAATAAAACCAGCAAGTCCAAGATACATCTGAAGGTCTCCAAACACTATGGGAATAGAAATAAAAACAAAACTAAGTAAAGCTCACCACATAAAAACTTTGAAAATATCTAATATACATTACAGTTGCTCAGGAACTTCATCAATTTATCTGCCAGGCTTCAGGTTGGACCAAATTCCTAAACATTCTTCAAAACAGTATCATACAGAATTTCAGTTTTCATTAAATGGAAAATTAGGTTCAGAAACTTTAAATGCATACATACACTTACTCAGTGAGATATTTAAGTCAACAGTACACAAAGAATATTTTATTCACCACAAAGAAAACTTTACATCAGACATTCTGAAATATGTACACAAACTGACAAATCTTAATGTTCATTTCTCTAATAACCTGTGTTAAGTTACCCTGAATATTCAATATTGTTCAAGTGGATCTTTCTATACTTATTTGCTACAAGTTATAATTAATACAAAATGTTATATTTAAAACATTGATCTAAAATGTAAAAAAAAAGTTCAGAATGATTATTCACCATATGATAATAAAAATATTTCAAAGTACCTCAACATTAACAAACAAACAAAGAAAAAAAACAGGGCACAAGTAACACTAAAGAGAATCTTAGAGTTTTCAATTGGAAACAATAAACTAAGCTTAACACATTTGTATAGTATAAATCAGAACCTGAAAATATCAAATCAAGTAGTAATAACATGAAAGATTTAAAGTCTTTGTTTTACTACTACCTCTACTTCTACACCAGGTGAAAAAAATAGTTATATGTATGCTTTGGACAATTTGAAATTATTAGAACCAAGTTAAGTCATTTTTAAGATAAGCAAAAACAAAATCTAATATTACTGAAACACTATTAAACTAGAAATAAAGGCAGAACTAAATGTTGATCAGATGCAGAATGGTACTAAGCCAAGTACTATATAATAACAATGTATTTTACATTTTTAACAGTTATTGTAAAAAATACTCACTAGGGGGCATATATAATGGATGATTGATGTAATACCCAATGTAAAGTCCAAACAGCCAGTAATATGAGCAGTTCTGCAAAATAAAAAAACAGAATCAAAACACTCAAAGTGTTAAAAGTAGTTCCTCGACATGTCAAGATGAAGTGAAAGGAAGTATTCTAAAAAAAATATATACTAAAACTATCAAAATTAATAAGAAAATAAATTATTCTGTAAAAATCTTGTCTTCATATTATGCTAATATAGAATGACAAAGTTCTTAGCTATATAATTTTAAGAAACATTTTCAGGCTTTTATTTGAAACAATCTCTCACATTTGTCTACTTATGTTTATTCAGTTAGAAAGACATTGAAGATTATTATATTTTGATTTATTCAACACTAAAATTACCAACTTGTATTTTTTACACCATTTTCTGTCAATGTGGATCCACATGTCGCATCACATTGAGTACTTTTATGTTCTTACCTTTTACGACATAAAATTGGATGAAAGTATTTACTTCTACGTAAAACACACAGGAGATCTAAGCAAGAAATAGAGGGAGTAATTGCAATATTGATGGTATTTTGTATAAAATGTTTTTGTGAGACTCGTGTTTTTAGGGTACCAGTAAACAACAGTTACAAACTCAAAACAAGTTTAGAAAAATGAATTTAAAACTTAAGAATATTTAATACCTTGTTAATGCTTTAATTATATTGTAAAATAATGATATGTTTGCTAACAGAAATTAGAGTGAAATGAATTCTTTAATAAAAAAAATATCATATTACTTTTGATAATAAGTTTAGGTAATGTATTAAATGATGTTAAGCCTATTACTATGTTTTACTTGTTCAGTAGAATTTTGAAAGAATTGATTCTCAGCGGGGTTGTGTAAAATACACAACCCTGTCTGAGTAATGATACAAGTGCAACAATACATACTGTAATTGTGAAATTAAAAATGTATCTTCATAATAACTGGTAAAATTTTATTAAAGATTATAAGTATCTTGTACACAAAGAATAACATTACTTTAATTAAGTATTTCTACTAAAAATATATTATTTATCTGTTGTAGTTATTTGCACTCAAACTCTTAATAGTTCAAGTGCAGGGTGCTTTTCATTTTAAGTATACAAATACTTTTTCATCTTACAGTTTTGGAGTTATTTGCATAACCTCTAGAACCTCCTAAATTAATATCAAAAGGTTTTTTGAGAAAGATGTTTATATTTTATTTTTCATTTTCTCTACCACATCACTAACTGTATGTATTATCAACATACAGTGCAATGAAGTGTTTAAAATTCAGAAATATAAAACATGTACATACCTTTTAATTCTTCATACAATATCTTAAAAGATCTTTTGGTTGTATTCATGATTTCAGGTCTTTTCCTTTTCACATGTAGTTAATTTTTAATGTTTTATTTTCTTTTTCTGTCCTTTACCTTTAATTAGTCATCTCAGCACAATTTAACAGTGCCCTTTAACAGTATCTTCAGCAGAGATGCATAAGACTTTGGCAAAATTATCTTACCCTCGTGCAAGATCTTAAGCATTGAGAACTGAGGCAAAGTATGATGCAAGTTTAAAAAATGTTTAAACCTTTCAATTGTGCAATTTATAACATAAATAATACATAATTATCCGAGCTATAAAAGTAAGACCTAAATACAATTTAACTGTCTCTCTAACTATAACATATTTAGTTAAACAAAAACAAACAGCCAACAATACTACAGGCAGTTATATCTACCAGATGACAAAAACTGCACATCAATTTCAAAATAACCATTGGTAGATTATACTGAAAAATAAGCTCTTTCTAATGACTATATACATGTATATGTAGCAACTACATGATGTTATAAAGCTCAAGCAAAAGTATAGGAGATGGGCATGGCACCCATCAGGGGGTTGACAAAGTTTATTACTTGTTTCTACTCAAAGAACCTTGAAGCTTAGGGCAATTAAACATAATTAATTGTCTAAACATACTTCTACAAGACTGGCATTATTTGAGTCGATACAAATTGCAAAAGTTGAGATTTCTCGTAGCTCCTAGGTCACGTGACAACAAAACCAGAAGTTAAGTATTTTTTTAAAGGTTTCTTTCAAAATAAAGGAATTAAAGCATATATAACATAAAACTTTGAATCACAAAATACATTATAATGTTAATTTCATTCATATACATTGATAGTAAAGGTGGTTTTGATGCATTTTTCTACTGAATCTGCACCATATACAATGCAATTTCTCCACAGAGTTAACAATCACTCACTAAGTCCTTCTAAAACAACTACCCATGAATCACATGGCACATCTTAGCATCATCATGGTTAGAAAAAAGTTATCATGGCCATGTACAAATACCCATCATTCCACTAAGAAACCACATTATTCAGGAATGAATCCAAAGCTTTAGTAATGACAGTGTAGAATGCAGAGACTGGAGACTCCATAACATCTCCAGTCTAACTCCAGAAACATCAAGACCTCACCAAGCAGAGAACGTGAAGAATGGTCTAGAGAGAAACAGGGCCAGCTGACATGATCTACCTGCAATAACATGCTGGATTAAATCAACTATACAGAGGTAACAAAGAGGATTTAACAACGAAAGTGGACAACTGAAGAACACGATCTTGGCCTAGAGAAAAGATACAAAATTGCACACACAAGAAAACATTATACAAATGACAAGAGTTGAAACAGAACAGAACTATGCATTCTAACGGAGTGTTCTTTTAAAAAAAAAATGTCATTTCATTGTTAGAATCCACCAAAATACTAATAAAGACATAAACTTGAAACTGTTGCAGAACAGAACTTATTGTTAATAAACTAACAACTAATCCACCACACTCTCTACTGTCTATAATTTATAGGGAAAAAAAAAGAAGGTTCCTCTCACACAAGGCAGTTTATTCAATGAATACAATACCTAAAGACACATTCTTAAGGTAAAACCTTACTGTTTTAACCATCATATATAGAAAGACAAAGTTGATATTCATCAGTAAGTTATACAGATTTTATACAGTTCAGTAATTCTGAAAACATCTTTAATTTTCCTATGTATATACACCTTTTTTCTCCCCAGCAATGAGCATAAGCAGGTGTATATTTGTTTACATACAGCACAATGTGTTCCTCTGGACCTCACTGACAAGCATTTGAAGTAAAAATACCTTGTATTCTCAGGTTATAATGCCATGAAATTGTTTCTTGTTAAGGAAGAGGCAAATATTGGTAGAACAAAACAGTGTTTTTTACTGTTTATTATAAAATCACAACAAAATTCTGTACATCTACAGAATACAGAAATGACTTTGTCAAGAGATTCCTATGTTCAAATTAAAAAACCAGCAACAGAAAATCCTAAGTGTAATAAAATTTTATAGTTTTTATGGGTTCAAAAAACAGTAATTTTTGTCGTTCAAGATTTCTTGGATTCTAAACCAGAGAGTAAAATCTCTCGACTATCACCTTATTCACAAAACTAAATAAAACAAAAAATTCAAACTCAAAGAGAAAAACAGAAAGATTAAGTTTACCAAAATGGAACAGTTCAGAACTCCTGTGATTTTCAGCAACAACAGATGTACAGTCTGACAAAAAATGTTTTATTTGTTGGGGGCTTTATGCATCAGCCAGATGGTTCATAAGTGGACAATAGCTAAAACTAAGAAAGACTGTATTGTATACAGAGCACAATGAAAAAGCACCAAAACCTCAGACCATGAATTTATGCAAGTGATGTTACGAAACATTTTTAATTTTTCTATAGACTAGCTGGAAAATAGTGATATTGATTTAAATAAACATATGAAACATTATTTGTAAACAAAGGATACTCAGTTACTGAGACAAAATGGGAAGTTAGTATTAGTTGAAAATGTTGTAGTATTTCTGGAACAATGATTATTTTTTGATAACTTTACTAACTTATTTCTTTTATTCTGAAAAATTCATATAGTTCTTTACGTAAAACTACCTTAAAGAGGTTCTTGATAGGCATAGTCCCATGTGAAAATCGATGAACAAAAAGTGTTTCTATGATCCGTTTACAGTAGTGAATAGACCAGCACATAGCTGCTAAACTGTAAAAACAAAAACATTATAAATATTAATATTCTTTAAACAAACATGATAGAACAAACTAAGTCTTACAGAAAGCAATTTTCTTCTCCAATTAATGATGGCTACTTACAATTGTCAAAAATAACATTTCAATAATAAGCACAGCTTCCCACTTAAAAACAACAACATCTGTGGTCTATTCAAACTTATAAATTTCAAATCTTTAACAAATAAATTAAATTTTATAAGTTACATTCTCATTAAAATTATATGCTGAAAATGCATCTTTTGTAACACTAATTAAACAGTATAGTTTGTGAAATTAGCTTTCTCTCACCATAAGGTGATTTATTCTGGTAACAGTACAACCAAATCTGTATCTTTCTGTAGCTTAGTTTTAAAACATTACTGACAACCAAATCTGTATCTTTCTGTAGCTTAGTTTAAAAACATTACTGACAACCAAATCTGTATCCTTCTGTAGCTTAGTTTAAAACATTACTGACAACAAATTTGTATCTTTCTGTAGCTTAGTTTTAAAACATTACTGACAACCAAATCTGTATCCTTCTGTAGCTTAGTTTTAAAACATTACTGACAACCAAATCTGTATCTTTCTGTAGCTTAGTTTAAAAACATTACTGACAACCAAATCTGTATCTTTCTGTAGCTTAGTTTAAAAACATTACTGACAACCAAATCTGTATCCTTCTGTAGCTTAGTTTTAAAACATTACTGTGATTTCTCCAGATGTTCCGGCAATGTTAGATAAAGATTTTAGAGTGGTACAGCATGTAAAACTGACACTTCAAATGTTATACATATCAACAAATTTAGATTAATACTGCAGAAAAAAAGTTCCAAATAGTCTTGAAACAATTATTTTCTGTAGGAGCCTGACAATGGTCTTGCATAGTTTTGAAACCAACAAAATGATGTAACACAGTAGTAGACCTTCTTGCATTATAACTCAGTAAAACAGAACTTTGAAGAGTTTACACTTTTATATTTGTAATGAAATATGATCTGGACTTATAGAAGGAAAGTACCTACAAATACCACTGTTATGACAGGGTACGACACTTCTCCAGTTATAATTCACAAAAGCAACCCCTTTGTAGTTTTTACTTCTCTTCTTCTTATAAAATAAGAATTAATCTTTTAAAATGAAGTTGTATATAAACATTTCATTAAATTTTTAAACAGGAATTCATAGCTTTGTTTTATATTATAGAGCCATGTACAAAAATCAATACATTACTGTAAACTTCATATTTTAATGCAATGCTTTAAATAATTCTGAAGACATGTGGAAACTATATAACAAAAAAGATCTACAAATATTTACAGTAACTGTTAAACTTCATTTACCTAATTACAAAAACATACTTTGTATACTTACTGAACAACAGTGTGTTTGGGCACACTTGCTGCTTCCACCCCATACAGCAAGGCTGGCCTCAAATATGTGACTAAGTAAAGAACTAAAGGACCGGTATACTCCCAAAGAAATACCTGAAATGAGGTTCTCCTCATTACTTCTATTCCTCAACTCGTGACACCAAGAACAGCTTATATAAAGAAACTGTTACAATACGATTTTGAAGTTAAATGCGTACAACAGATCTAGTGAGTGAAAAGAACATATTTTATTAAGATGTTAACTCCTTATATTTACTATTACTGACAATCAAACACAGTTCAGTACAGGTTCAGACACTTACAGTTTTCCAGCCAATCTGAGGACCAAGGTCCTTCAGAAAAAGAACCTTCTCATCTTTCAATGACAAGGTTTCTAATGTTGTTTCATCGGGGAGAGACTTTCCTTCTGTAAAGCAGAATTAAGAACACATAGCAAATATTTAAACATTGTAATCATATTTATATCAAGTGGTGTCCTTCAATAAATTCTGAATCATATAGTCCTACAGAAACTTTATTGATTTATAGTTTGAAATAACTCAGTCACTAATGATTTCTTTATTTAAGTTACATGTTTTTATTTCTCATGATTTGATTTGAAACCTCTTGGACTACATTCATGAACATCATCACACAAGATAATAATGGACATTCCCACTAAAAGCACAACAAGTTGTATATAATCTAAAATCACAGCAGTCTGGGAATTATGTAAATATATTTGGTTTCATATTTTTATTTATATCAAATCTTACTGACAAAAAATTGGTAGTTTCAGTCAATCATATTTAATGTATAAAAAGGATTTACAGCCAATTACATTTTTGTTTTAATACTATTTCATTTATGTATCTTATACTTAAAAATATATTTTGTCTATTTTATAATAAATCAGCATTAACATGACTAAACAATAAAACATTTTTAGTCGACAACTTCTATTAATTATTTCAGGAATGACATTAACGTGTTCTTATTTTATATATGTAAAAAGCTTCGAAATTTAAGAGTAGCAATTATCTCCAAAACAGCCAAGGCATACAGGCTCTCATTACATGAGGCAATGAAGATTTTACTGTTCCTACTCACTTGGATCCACTCGTAGAGCTTGTCGTTCTGGATACAATTTAGTACCTGTAGAAGAGATTAATCATAAATAATTTATTATTATACCTTCTTAAAGCCTAGATTTACTTTGTGTATGATCTAGCTTTTGCTTTTGGTTACACCAGTTTCAGAAATTATAGTCCTTTAGTAAATATGGATTAAGCTGGTAGTAAAATGATTTACTGAGGAATTTAAACCAAGAATTATATTCAAAATATAACAAATTTTGGCATCCTTTCGTCATCACTCTATGAACAAAATACTATCAAAATCTTACAGAGAATATTATCCTGTTAAAATAGTACTGAAGAACAAAGGAATAATACAAGGGCTAATCAATTCCTTCACATACATTTTCTGGTGTTCCCACTCAACTACAATTTGGGTTTAAATAACCATAAGTTTCCCATAAAAAAAATTATCCTGGTGCCTTAATCTTCATACTGTATTCTTCTGTAACACCACCTAACATTGAACAGTGGGTTCACGTTTTCTTAGCACATTTCTTTTCAGATTCATGCATTTTGTTTCTGCTATAAAAAGCAAATCATCTCAGACAGCTATAATACTTCCCAATACCAAATATTGTGAATTTTGTAAGTTAGTAGTAGTTTTATCACTAATTTTTAGGCTATAAACAAATCACATAAAACCGTGAAAACTGTTTTTACTGAAATGTTTAACAAATGATAAACAACAAACCTACTTACTTGTTTTATAAATTCTTTTTTTTACATCTTGAATTGTAGCTGTAGGTGACAACTGAAAAGTATAAGTTAATAATATTAATCAGTCTTGTATACAAGATTACACATGATGCACAACTCATAGCAAAAAATTTGGGAACTTTAGGCTCCAAAAACTCTAAAATTAGGTACTGCGTAACTGCCAAAAGAAGTATATAAAAAATTTTGAAATAATATTTTTATTATAAAAAAAAACAAACAAATAAAAGCAATAGTTAAACAATTTTATTACATCATTGATGAGCTATATTGGAGAATATTGCTTTCATTTATTATTATTATAGGCCTACAAATAGCTTTCAACTATCACAATTATCTCACAAAAGAAAACAAAGGCATCAAGTTGATTGTGTTGAAGTCTAAGTTCAAAGTTATTCAGGCTGAGAGAAAATTTGGTAGATACTGTTAGTTAAAGAATTAAACCTTTAGAAGAAAAATACTTAGGAACCTTTCTTTATTAGGAAATCTTAAGGTCCAATTATGATTCACGTATGTGATTATAGACAGACAACTAGTGGTGTTTGATAACTGATTAATTCCTTCAGCATGGGCTCGGGC